ATGTAAAATAAAATTAAAATATGGAAAAGAACAAAGAAGTAATATCATAATTTATTTTTTCTTTCCCTGTGTATCTAACTAGACTGGCCACAAGGTCCTTCATTTCAGACACTGATTCTGAGCATGGATGAAGATTTGCATTTGTTACAAGCAGTTTTCTAACAGAGCACAAAGTCAAACCCAGAACCAATGGCAGATGATTTCTTTCTCCTCAGAGCTTGAATGTTAAGTCTATTTCAGAAAGTGCTAAGAAAATAAATCAAACCCACAACTTTTTAAAGGTGATCTGTAGACAAAAGCAAACCTTTGAACTCTTCTACCATAATGCAGAAAATGCACCTTGCCTTATTACAAAGGACAGCTTCTTCCTGTCAATTTGCTCTAACCAGGAAGTCCTAATCTAAGATTTTCCTGATTATGAGGCAAAGTAGATAAATGTATCCATTTAATAAAAGCATTTCAAAGTCAATATGTACCTATCAAACATGAGTATATAAATACTTTTGTCATGAAATGTTTCACACCTTACAAAATTATGTAATAATACATAAACACAATAATATAATAAAGACCAATATTCTGAATTTTCTTCAAGTGATTATATTTATATATTAACAAGCCACACACAATGTAAAGGAAACAAATGCTTAGCCAAAAAAAAAAATACTCGTAATCAAAAGGGAGTATATGCTAGTTTTATAGTGTTATTTACCAGTTCAGAGATTTCTAAAGTCTGCTTAGTTTATAAAATTATCGAAAGATACTCTCATAACTTCTTTCTTAAGTATAACCTTACACATACTGAATCAAATCTATGAAGATAATTCCTCCGGTTCTGCTTATCAAGAGAATTCCTGGGTTTTAAATTATGTCACTGCAGTTCTGCCTCAGACATTCAGAGGTGTATGAATTTATAAGCAAAACCTGCAAGATCAGGAAGATGACGTAATTAGAGCAGTAATCCCTCCCAGAAATAAAGCGATACTAGGGATGCAAGGCTTGCCCCTCAGTGACAGAATTGAAATCGTTCAGTATTATATTGTGAGCTAATATTTGTGCATGTTTTTCACTTATGGAAAATAAAAATATATTCACTGGATTTAGCAGCCTTATCTCTAAAATAAGTGACAAAGTTTCTCAGCTAATATATTTGCTGTGAAACTTATTTCCAAATTTATATATTCTTGCTTCCCTCTTATGTTATCATGTTTCAGGCATTGTACTGTGAGATAAATGAAAGTAAAACAAATCAAGAGTAAGGAAATTACGTATACTTTTTCCCAGTTAGCACAAGTAGATAAAAAAAAAAAAAAACATAAAATACAACAGGTTGGTAAAGTGTATTGAAAGAAAAATATTTGCATGTTGTACCTAATATTCCAATATTTTAAATTCAATATAATAAAAATTCTACCATTCAAAGTTAAATTACAACCTAAATTGAGCATATACTATTACTTTGAATTCTGTCTTGATGCATTACTTTAAATTTTGTCCTGTATTTTTGCTTTCATTCATCAATATACTCAAAATTTCAAGTATCCTTTTTACTGTCAACATAACCTTGTCTTCCACACTTCACATGGGATCCAAAGCATAAAAATTTCTGTGACCAGTATTGTGTCACAATGGTTATTTCGAGCAATCCAAGGCAATGGCACTGGAATCTATACTTGCTTCCATTTAAGAGAAACCATTTCTCAGTGCTGGCTGTGTTGGAAAGATGAACATCTACCTAAGTTGCTGCTAAGATTCTGAAAACATTTGAGGAATGAAAGTACTAGAAAGTGAGAACTGAGGATAGGCAAGTGATGTCAAGGGATGCAAATACAATGGTCTTCGGCAGCTCTGTTTGAAATCCCACCCTAGTATTTCAGAAATTTCTACCAACTACATTTTAATAACATGAGCCAGTCTCCATTATTACTCTTGGTTTTACTGGAGCTGGTTTGCTTAGGGAGTCTCTCTCTGGCAATCAAGAATTTTCAGTTAATAACCTTGTGTTTATATTTTGCCCATCCATCTGTTTATACCAATTGTTTAATTTTTCAAAATAATGGTATGTGACATACAGGGCATATATAATTGTGACTTGATTAATAACTTCACACTTTAAAAATGGAAAATACACGTTAGAAAATATCTGAATAGCTTCTGTAGACGCATAATTGATGATTAGCGTTAGCAAAACATATGAGATACTTATGCCTTCTGGATTAGGTCAACTGTTTAAAAATACAATGTAAGTGTTAATGAAGCAATTGATATTGCACTGCATATATGTTATGATGAAGTAAAGCCAATATTTAAAACAAATCATGTGGCTTTACATAAATGAAAAGGTTAGATATATGACTTTAATAGAGAAAGAACTGGTCACTAATTTGCTTTTGACACAACTGGGGATTCTGATAGGACACCTGGAAAGATGTCTCAACAGCACCTTTCAGCATTAGACATCTAAATACAGGGTCACCTATAATGCTAACAGGTGAAACTGAGGCAGTGGCAGAAGAACTATATGCTTGTCAAGGTTAAGGTGTCACCGTAATTGACACATGGAGAAACTAAAGCACAAACAGATAAATGTCCACAAGAAAAGCAGATTTTAACCAATCTTTATAATGCAAAAAAAGCAAACACCAATAAAATCCGTATGAGTTAATAATATTGTTGGCAAAGAACATTTAAATGAGAATGTGGATCCTAAGGCAAGAGAGGAATCTCAGGTTGAATAGAAAGAAAAGGATGTTAGTGATACCAGTTTCACAACACACACACATATACACATGCAAGAATAAGAAATCACACTGTTTATGATGCAGGTAATGACTGAGGGGAAAAGATACATAGATTATTAACTGTTAATCAGCTTAATTTTAAGTCCTTGAAAAAGAATCTAAAAAGTTTAAGATCTAAGTTTATATGAAAACTTATGTAGACTCACAAACAAACTGTAAAAGAATACATTTAGGCTATATAATGTAACTCATTGAGCAAATATGAGAAGTAATTTTCTTCCTATTAGACAAAAGATGACTATTGGATCCTAAAACTTAAACTACATTATGTGCAGTTAAATGGTTTTCACTTTCAGATTGCATTAAAACTGAATTACAATCACTACTTCCTTGAATTGCTTAGTATTTCTTTCCTCTATAATGAGAATATTAATAGTGAATATTTTCATGCAATCAAATACATGCATTGCTCCATTTGATTCAGTATTATTGAATATAACATTAAAGGATTTTTCTAATTGATTTCACAGAGTATCAAATAGGATTATATTGTAGGAAACTGCTTTGGGAGCATATCATTAGGTAGAATAAAAAACAGTCAAACACAAAGCAGTGAAGTACTATGTGCCAAGACTCCTTCCCCTGAGAACATGATGGGCCACTAACAAATACAGGCAACATTCACATCACATCACATATCACACACTGCCACATAACACATAGTGCCATGACTCACCACATGCCACACACCATGACACATCACACATCACCACATACCACATAGCATGTGTCACACATTACCAAAATCACATAACACTGCAAAACATAGCACACATCAATACATATTACACGGCACCACTATATTTCACACAGAACTTCATATCATATATTATCACATATCATATGGCATGACAGATCATATAGAACTACATATCACATAGCACCACATATCACACATCAGCACATATCTCCACATTTCAATGGCACCACATAGCACCAAATGTTATACACAACCACATATCACCTTGAATCCCATTCATCACAAGTCACATAGCACATCTCATCACAGGTCTATACCATCATATATCATCACATGTTATATATCTCAGATAGCACATATAATTATTACGTGCTTAATATAATCACATAATACAATATATATCACATATCATATGTTCCTCATTCTGAGACCTTATATTATGCATCATGATATTTTCTCAGGAAAATCAACAGCAAGTTGTCCACTTTATTAATTGAATATTTTATCAAAAGTAGCTGTAATTTGACATTTCATGTCTATGTACATTTGTTATCATGAATTTAATACTCTTTAACAATTATAAGAATACAAGTCTTTCATTTATTTAATTATAAAAACAAATTTAGCTTTCAGTGAGAGCCAGTATTGTTTAAAGGAAAATATATAAACTAGAATTGTATGATTAGATCTTTTAAATATTCTTTGTGAGCACATAGACATATTCAGAAAATGCCTGCCTATATCATCTTCCATTTTGTCAAATTTTTAAAAAATAAACATGTCCATGGCAACCAGCACACAGATCAAAGCAACCGATTATTGGCAAACCTCTGCACTTCTCACCAGATAATATCATGTGACACAGAAAACTCTAATAGTGTAAAGTTCTAGTTATGTTCGTTTACTGAAAAATTTAAAATAGTATCATGCACTCCCTTTAAAATCTAAGTAAACTTTCAACTAAGCTTATATCAAGAACTGACTTCAGAGGCAGAAAAGGCCTTAGCCTTTCCAGACCTAGGCTCATTTCCTGGTACCCACATCTTTAGCTGACAACTACTGGGGAATCCAACACTTCCTTCTTGTCTCTGCAGACTCATACACATAAGGGCACACACACACACACACACACACACACACACACACATTCACATAAAAAACAAATAAACAAAAATACAAACTGATTCCATTTCATACTATACCCTGCAACTCCTAAATCACTGATCCAGGTTCAGCACGCACACAGATACAATGCTAACTTCTCACCTTGCTGACCTATAGTCTACAACAGGACACCAAACTAATACTTAAATGACAGAGGTCAGACACCCAAAGCAGCAGGTAGTAGTGATTTGTTGAAATGAATTAATTTTCAACAAAGCAAATTTCTGCCCATCCATACACTGTCACTTTCATCACATGCTGGAGGTGTCTGGGCAGCTAGCTGTAATTTCAGGTACTTGGAAGATATCTCACATCCTGGAACTTTAAGTGGCAACTTACTGTTTGGAAGGCTCAGGATATTTTGGTTCTTCTAGCTTCTTCATTTCTCTTGTTGGGTCCACTGGGCTAAGAAGGACAGCAGCACACGACATTACAGAATGGCACGAATCTTCCCGGCAAACTGGAGTTTGAAAACAATTCATTGTAAATGTTAAAATAACTCAGTGGCTCTTCTCATGTTCCTCACTTAATTTGTGTATTTTCAGTCAAGTTCAGGGAAAATTTCAACAAAATATTAATTAACATTGAGTTATCCTTAATTCTTTTGAACATTATTTTTCACTAGTTAGCTGTACAAATCCTGGGCAATTTTACTTAGCTTTATAGCCAAAGTGGAAAAGGTATTTCTAACATTTAGCAGCCAAAAGACAAGTTGTTCTTTGAATGGCAGATAACAAGTGTATGTCATGGCACATGTAGTTCATAAATCTTCACAAAGAGAATTCACTTCCTTCATCAAGGTCAAGATCAAAAGAAACTCATGAATTACCATGTGCCTAAACTCCTGTGGTCTCCTTCTTGTCCAACTACAGCCCCAAACTCATCTACCATTATAATATTACCATAAAGCATTTGCATTTGTGGCCTTTCTTTAATGGAGTCATACTTTATGATCATTCTTAAAAAGATGGCTTACTGTGTTCCATGTGTGTTTATAAAATTCATCTACAAAATGTACTGTTGGTTTATTGCTGTGCAATGCAGCTTTCCCTTGGACAAATAAACTAAGTTGTTTTTAATCTTTCAATATTAATAGTCACTGTTTCAGTTGGTGGCTGTTTCTATTAGCTATTAACTTCCTTCTAGTTTTTGGTTAGTTCCAAATAGAGATTTGTTCTCAAAAGGCTTCGTGAAGCTATAATTGTTCTTGGGGTATGTTGTTGATTGTATTCTTGACAGTCAACACCAGTGAACAGTTCTCTGTCCAGACTACTTTACTTTCCCCCAAACAGATGTTTCAACTGCCCCACACCCATAAAACACTTGATTTCACACCCATAAAACACTTGAATTCACAAGTTTTCCCATTGAAGTTTTCCTATTATATGAATACTATATCACTGCATAACAAATCCACACAAGCTCTGTTTAAAATAACACTCTCTTATTATCTCAAAGTTCTGTGAGTAGTAAATCTGGATAAGTGAATTGGACACAGTTCTTTTCTTAGAGTCTCAAGAGGCAAATGTTAATGTTCTGGTTTGGCTGCACTGCTATCAAAAGTTTCCATGAGCCAAGCATTGTGGCCCCAGAAGTGGACTGAGGCAGGTGGTATCCTAGTTACTACCCCTTATACGTCATCTAGAAATGTACCCAATAACATGTTTTTCTATTTAAAAAAGAAATCTGTGTGGAAATAATCCAATGAAAAATTAATTCAGGTTTGTGGTGGTTGACATTTCTTGTCAACATGACAAGATCAGGTACCCTGTAGGAGACAGGTCTCTGAGCACTTCTGCTAGGGATTGCATTTATCAGATGAACTGAGGTGGGAAGATGCACCCTGAATATGGCAGGATAATCCCATGGCTGGGGTTCTGGATGGTACAGGAGAAAGTGAGACGAACATAAGAGTTCATGCATCCCTCTCTGTTTCTTGACTGTGGATACAACATGGCCTCAGGCTCAGGCTGCTGTGACTTCCCTTGACATTGCAGAATGTGCAAGGATCCTTGTGGCTAAATACATTTTTTTTTCCTGAAGCTGACAGTGCCAGGAGATTTTGTCACAGCAACCAGAAAAGAAATGAATACAAGGTAGCTATAAGAATCTGCTTCCTTCCTATGAGAGAAAAATAAAGTCTCCTGTTTCTAGGAACAATCATGTGTCATCATAGAATTCTACCTCATAGAGCTATTCAGTTAAGAATGCAATTACATTATTTATCTTTAACCTATATGTTCCTGATAATTAAGCTAAATCTGTATGTATATAGTCCTCATTTATATGACTCTAATTTATACAAATTATTTTGAATCTTAGTGAAATTACAGCTATCACAAAGAAAACATTGCTCAATTACTGCTAGCATGGTGAATCAACTTTAATTGTATAAAGTATAAACATCCCTAATTTTTTTTTAATTTACAATCTACTATGTAAACAACAAATTCAGACCACAATCAATGGCAAACTTGTGAACATTTTCAGAATCTGATAATTACTGACCACTAGGCACATGCTATTGAGCAGAAGCCAGTAAAGAACCTATGTAGCATTTTCCAAATGCAGATAATCTAAAGGAATAAATTTGCCAGGAAAAATGAAAGTATGGGAAAGAAATGAATACTGATAGAAACCCAAGGACATTTCTGTTGAATGTAAATGATGTTACTCAATTGACACAAATAACAGCACAAATTTGTCTCTTATTCAATGTAGCAAAAAACAAAGAGAATAGAGGAGAGTGAAAGCTCCAGAGACATAACCAGGAAATGCAAGTCAGCCAAGAGCACGATCTTCCAAAGCAATGTTCCTCACTTTCCCATTAAAATTTTGTCTGAAAAGTGCCATATCAATGATGGAATCTTGGTATTTAAGAGAAATTAAACTGCACTCAGCTTCCAGTATTGTATTATTTGTTTCTTGGTTGTTGGAATAAAGCAAAATCAACATATGGAGGAAAGTGTCTATTAGACTTACAGATAACAGTCCATCACTGAGGGAAGCCAAGACAGAAAGGGAAACAGAGACCATGGAGGCAGGTCTCTGAAAGTGGAATCAGAGACAATGGAGGATCACTGTTTACTGATCTGTCTCTTGTGGCTTGCTAACTTTCTTATACAGCCCACGGCCACCTGCCCAATAATGGCAGTGTCCATAATGAGCATCTATCCATTAGCGATCGAGACAATGCCCCCAGAGGTGTGCCCCACACAACAGGCTCATGGTGGCAAACCTTCAACCAAGGCTCAGGATTGCCAGGTGACTGTGGTTTGTGACAAGTTGACAAAAACTAGCTAACACAAGTATCTTTAAATTTCATTTATCATGTTATACAAAATTAGTGTGACCAATTCAAATTATACAAATGAGAAACAAAGAAATGATAACTTTTCAAAACAAAAAATAAGCCCAACATTGAGCTCCAAAGGCAGAAATTGAGAAATAACAGAGCCCTTAGAAGTCATCACTGGCAGGAGGTGTCCCTGAGATAAATGGAGCAATGGATAATAATATGATAACAATATTCCAGCAAAAGACATTGTTCCAAGCCCATGTGGATACTTAAAATGCAGATGAGTATCTTGTACTGATCCTGATGTAAGCTCCTCTATGTAAGAACTGAATTTGCATACCAGTTGCAAATTATCTTGAATTTTATCACCCACAAAAGTGTAGGTGAAAAAAAATTCCAGAATAAGATGAATAACAGTAAATGGAAAAGCACATTTTTATTAAAATATACCATAATGAGACAGATTAAAATGAAAGATCATAAAAAATTCTCAGTCATTATGGGGTAAATCATATGATTTTACAAAAGATTAATGAATTTTCTCACTTAAAGAACTCTACAAAACAACATAGATGTTCATGATATCAGAACAGTCTACTTAAAAAATACTTATCTGGCATTTCTGATATATCTTACAAATTAATACTTATGGTAAAGAAAAATTTAAATGTGCTTAGAATGAATAACTGAAATTATTTATGGATACACACACACAATAGGCTTTAACTGATCATAAAGTTAAAGTCAACTGCAACAGAAAGTGTTTGGCTTTAGGGAGGCACAGTTTTGAAGACCATTGTTCAAACCATTTGAGCAGAGAGTGGTTTCTGTGTCCTTATCCACAGAGGCTCCCATCAGCCAAAGGCTCAGAGCAAGTGATTTTTAGTTCTCTTCTGGTGTTCCCACCTTGATGCTCTGAGGAGTACCATTTGTCTTCCTCCATTTAAACCTCTGTTATACGTTCTTCCAATGTGTACTTGGTTCTCTGCCAGGGAAGGTGCAATTGAGGTGGTAGCCCAAATCTCCATGTGCTTCTCCCAGTGACAAAGGTAGACTCTGGTAGCAGTGCTAAGCCATCCACTTTGAAATGACTTACAATGTCATATATTGTTGCACAAAGAACAAACAGCAAAGGATGGTATGATATTTAGTTTAGAAAAATGTGGAATGTAAAGTCACCTGTCACTGGTGCTGGTGTTTCATCAGCCACCATTACTCTGTACTCAAAAGCAAAGTAGTTATAAATGGCAAGTCCTGAACTTTTGCCTACGGGGGCAATTGAACATTATGTACATATGTTCAGATATACTTATTTATAGACAGGAACTCATGTAGCCCAGCCTGGCCTCAAACTCCCTTTGCTCTTGAAGATGACCTCAAAGTCCTATAACCCATGAGGGAATAGAAGCAGTCATTAAAAGACTCCCAACCAAAAAAAGTCTGGGATCAGCCAGTTTTAGTTCAAAATTCTACCAGACTTTCAAAGAAGACTTAATACCAATACTCTTCAAATTATTTCACATAACAGAGACAGATGTAACATTGTCAGATTCGTTCTATGAGGTCACAGTTACCTTGATAACCAAACCACATAAAGGCTCAACAAAGAAAGAGAATGACCGACCAATTTCCTTCATGGACATAAATGCAAAAATACTCCGTAAAATACTGGCAAACCGAATCCAAGAATACATTAAAAAGATCATCTACCATGACCAAGTAGGCTTCATCCCAGAGATACTGGGATGGTTCAACATACAAAAATCTGTCAATGTAATCCACACCAACAAACTGGAAGAAAAAAAAAAACACAAGATCTTCTGATTAGATTCTGAAAAAGCCTTTGACAAAATCCAACACCCCTTCATGATAAAAGTCCTGGAGAGATTAAGGACATGAGGGACATACCTAATTGTAATAAAGGCAATTTACAACAAGCCTATAGCCAACATCAAATTAAATGGAGAGAAACTCAAAACAATTCCACTAAAATCAGGAAGAAGCCAAGATTGTCCACTCTCATCGTATCTATTCAATATAGTACTTGAAGTTCTATCTAGAGTAATAAGACAACTGAATCAGATCTAGGAGATACAATTTAGAAAGGATGAAGTCCAAGTATTGTTATCTGTAGATGATATGATAGTATACATAAGTGACCC